AAAAAAAAAAAAAAAAAAAAAAAAAAAAAAAAAAAAAAAAGACTATTAAAATAGGAAGAAACAAATTTACCTCTTGAGGATGAAATGAGTTGATCTGGATAATGTGATTGTCACAGGCCCTCACCATATTAAGTGCTGAATAAATGACAGCAAATGACAAACAAGGATTTTTTATTATCTTGCTTTTTTGTGCTAAAAAAAAAACTCAGTTGATTTTTTCAATAAATGACAAGGTGAAGCTTTAATATCTAAGTTGGAACTTCCTTATCCTCATACAACATCTTAAAGTTAATTGCCCAGAAATATCTTTCATGAAAAGATCTTCCATTTTGAATAGTAGAAGAAGAGTTCAGTGAGAGATGCAGAACATGCCACTATCCCTCTCTCTATATGGTAAAAGCTAAAGGTCATTTTGGTGAACTTTAAATCTCCAGATAGACTTGAACACAGATTTATGCAACAGCGCAGCTCTAGAATATGAGAGACATAGGAGTAGATCCCTTTGCTTAAATCTGTATGTAACGGGCAGCCTCTTACTTGAACAGAACAAGTGTCTAAGTGTGGAAAAACCTTGCTAGGAGTGTTTCTTGAAGAATTTTAATCAAGCTCGCTTTAGCAGCACATAAACTAAAAGAGTATTACTCTTTTTCTTCAATTAAAGATCAATCATTTAGGGTGGCTAAAATGTGATTTTAATTTTAAATATGATAAATTAAGTGTGGAGGTCACTGGAGTAACACATGGTAGAAATTGCTTCCTGTTATTCAAATAGTCTCACCCCTGATCTCAACTGAACAAAATTTAGTAAATTCTCCTTCCTTTCTTCCTTTGAAAGACTTTCTTTCCCTGATAGTGCACAGTTATTCATAAGGTATAATTTATATAAGGAATAAAAGGATTAAGGATGAGTTCAGATCTAAAGCCTACCTGCCTCTTTTTGGCAGTTTTAGAAAGTAAAGATCTGTAATGCAACTCTAAAAGTCACATTTATATATGAAATAGATATGAACTTATTGAGGATTTGCTACTAATGCATAGCATAATATTAGCATTATAAATAGAAAGTATTTTATTTTATTTTATTTATTTATTTATTTATTTTTGGTACCGGGGATTGAACTTGGGTCCTTGCACTTGCAAGGCAGGCGACTGAACCGCTGAGCTAAATCCCCGGCCCAATAGAAAGTATTTTATAAAAATTTTTAATTATACTTTCATGATTGCTTAGATATTATATTTTGAGGACCTTTGGTCCCTAGAAAAAAGGTATGTGTCATATATATAAAGACATTTTATTGTTTCACTTGTTATCCTTCCCTGGCATATTTAAAGAAGTCAAAGTCAAAGTCATTTATTGCATACTTAATCGTTATTTGACCTTTTAAGAATCTTTTCCTATTTCTCAACTTTTATTGTATATAAGACCTAGTAGGGACCTCAGATGGCAGCTTCTCAATAAATATTTATCATATAAAGAAAAATAAGATTTTCTTATACTTTGTGAGTTTTTCATATTGATATATTTTCTTCTCAATAATGGACATGGAATGTTTTTCACTGACTTAATGGCATAAAGAGTACAAACATAAAATGTATTCTTTCACTTAGAAGAGTCAGATGAGAAAGAAAAATTTCTAGCAATATTGAGAACTGAAAAAACCAAAACACCTATGAGAACACCGTGTTGGGGTATTTCTACAATTCTAACCCATTCTCAACCGCCTCCACCTCCAAGTCACTGCCATCTCTTATCTGGTGATTTTAAAATTAAAACTCTGTCACTCCTGAGACTTGGTCCCTTTTCCTTTTATAAGATATCACATCTCAATCCTTCCTCTCCATTTTATGGGCTCCTTTACTTATTCTCTCTATATAGCTTCTAGAGTATAATATATATAATGGCAGGGAATTTTTGTTGAATTAGTAAAAGGGATGAACATTTTAGTACCCAACACAGGTGTCCAGGAAAATGACTTCCCTGGGCCAAAAGGCATCAGGGCAATTCTGAGACACACAGACCTCTAGGACATTACTAGATGTAAGGGAGAGGGGTACTGATGGGTGAGTATAAAATAACTTGGGAAAGAATTTCCTAGCATTTTTCTGAATTTGTACAAGGGGGGCTTGAGTGCATTGGAACAGAAAGTCTAAACGCTGAGCTGATGGTTCTGACCTAGAGAATGAAAGTATGTTCCAACTCTGTCCAGAAGAACAACAAAGAGCAATTTCAACCCAAATAGAGTACCTATGCATCTTATCCTGTGAATACGTGTGTTACCCAGGGCCTTTGCACCAAGCTACATCTTTAGCCCGTATTTATTTATTAAATTTTGAGACAGGGTCTTCGTTGCTAAGTCATTCAGGCCGGATCAAACTTGCAATCCTTGTGCCTCAGCCTCCCAGAGTGTTCTACATCCTTTTTTTCTAAATACTTTTAATAACACTTAATACCATAATACTAACTCCTTCCCCAAGCTGCTGCATTTTTCCAACAAATACTGAGCTCCTTCTGGTTACCAGGCACTGCCCTAGGTGCTGAGGATTGAATGTTGCTTAGACAGTGCCCCCCCCCAGAGGACTGCCATCAGAAAAATTGGCATCGGTCAATTAAATATTATTGTTTAAGTATGCAATGTCCCTCAAAGTCTCATATGTTGAGGGCTAATCCCTTTGAGTATTAATGCACATATGTCAGCTCCACTGGGTTGAAAGACACCTCAGAGATGGGTGGAGTATGCTTCTGTAGAGCTGTGGCCACGGGTATAACATGCAGTACCTCACCCATCTCTCTCTGACACTGGGCCCATGCTCGGCTTCCCAGCCATGAACTAAGCAACTTACTTCTGCCACACCCTTCTGCTGCCATGAGGTTCTTGCCCTGGAGCCTGCCCACCACATATCTGAACCTGCTGAAAACGTGAGCTAAATTGATCCTTTCTTCTTATAAATTGTGAGTACCGGGTATTGTGCCTAGCAATGGGCAAGCTGACTAATACAGTTCCCAGTGCTGTGGTGTTCAGAGTGGGGCCTAGAGGTGACAGGATCAGGTGACTCATCAGAACTATAACCTACTGATGAGAGTGAGCCCAGGTGGAAGAAGTCTGTCTCTAGAGGTGCTTCCTTAAGGGATGCTGCCTGTCCCCAGTTCCTTCTCTGCTCTTCCCACTCTCTGCCTCTGCTTCCTGGCTGCCACAAAGAGGGGCAATTATCCTGCACCACACCCTTCCACCTTGATGTTTCATTCTTATGTTTGTGGTGTTTGTTTGTTTGTTTGCTTGCTTGCTTTCACCTTGATGTTACTGCCATGAAGAGGGCCAATCATAGAATGAAACCAGGACCCCAAATAAACTTTTCCTTCTTTCAATTGCCCCCGCATTTGGTCACAACAATGAAAAGCTGACTAACTCAGTGAGCAAACAGAAAATTACATCTGCGACAAAGACCCAAAATGTAAAAGTATAACAAGGCTCTAGAACAAAATGACTGATATACCCAGGAAGGACCTCATCACATTCTTTGAATCTAAGCACTGAGGTGAGATCTGACGATGATGAAGGTAGGGAGCAGAGAAAGGGAAGAAAACCTTGCAGGCAGAGAACCTCTGATTTTGTCTCCTTGGGGTTCACAGAAACTACCCAAGGCTCTGATTTCTATCAAGTATCTTTTTTTTTTTTTGTACCAGAGATTGAACTCAGGCCCTTGCACTTTAAATGAAGGCAGTGGAACAACTGAGCTAAATCCCTGGCCCACGTATCAATTCTTTACTGGAGGTTTTGTTTCACTTAGAGAAAAATTCAGGGCTCCAGGTCTGGGCCTGGGTCTCTATGAAAAGCAAAATAGCAAAGATCTGGGCACCTTCCTGACTCACTTTCTTTGTACGAGGATCTTTTACATGGAAAAACTGCACACGTGCCAGCTACCTTCAGACACCTCAATTTAGCATGTGTTCCTCATCTCCATTTATAATCATACACCCAGTTCAGTACCTATAAGAAGAATAGTAAGTACTCATGTTCAGGGCAAGAAGCGCAGTTGTGTCCTAAGTATTACAGGAAAAGCTTTTTCATCAGTACTTTTGGGGTCACTTCAGGTTTTTGATTTTTTCTCAGAGGGATTTCCCCAGGGTAGATACTATAGTTTCTGCTTCAGAAACCAGGTAGGAAGGAATTTCTCCCACCATTCTTTCCCTTCATTCTTATCCCTTCCCTTCCTCGCCTCTGATATTCTGGCCAATTACTCACTGAATCCTGTGAAGGATCTGGGTGGCTATGATTCAATATGTGAAAGTGGACGACATTTCAAAGTGAGATATTTGGAATTTCACTTTTTCCTGGTCGCCAGAAGATCAACATTGGTTTCAAGATTTATCATTAATACTTTTGTTTATGTGCCTTGGCTTTTGCTTTGTTTTGGTGGTGATGACAGAAATCAAACTCATGGCCTTGTGCTTGCTAGGTAAGTCCTTTACCGATGAGCTGCAGCCCCAGCCTCATTTTTTTCTTTTTTGAAGCAACAAAAACACACTGGGTTTTGCAGCCATTTCCTGAATCAGACAGAAAGAAATCAGGCATCATCAAATTCATTGGGCTATGTATGAATTTATAAATGTACAGAGAATATTACCTCAAGTGAACTGTACAGTGATATTCCTGGGCCAGAAACCCCCACAGGGATCCCTTCACTTTTCCTCTATCCCCCATCTTTACTTGACTCCTCTCCAGTTGATTCCTCTCCATCTCAGGAAAGGAGTTAGAGAGGGGAAGGAGTTAACTGAGCAAAAAGAAGTTACCAATGTGGTGAGTCCACTAAAGATTTTTTGCTCTTTTCTCCCACCCATCTCCTCCCTTGTCCTTTTTCTCTTGCTTTTTAACTCTCTCCTCATATCCCCTTCCTCTTCTCTGTCTGATCACCGCTCCCATGTCTCCCTCCATTTCTCATAGCCATCAGCCTACTTGCGTGTCTCAGCATTTTCATAGACTCCTTCATTTGCTATAGTTTTATTGAAAGTCTTTGATCCGCTAAGCTCAGAAAACATAAGACAAGAAAGACATGGTCACTGTCTCATGAAATTTCATTCCAGTGAAGACGGTAACATGAATAGATGGGCAAAAAAGTATAAATTGAAAAAAGTCAAATTGTGGTGAGACTTATAACAGGAACAAAAATAACACTGCATAGGCTGGGGATTTAGCTCTGTGATTCCACTGCCTGCCTTGCAAGTGCGAGATCCCAAGTTTGATCCCTGGTACCACAAAAATCAAATCAAAACAAAACAAAAGCAGCTGGAGACAAAAATCCAGGCCTATTCATGTTCAAATGCTCCTTACTCCTCCAAAGTAGTTGTCTGTCATTTCCCCCACCCCCACTTCAAATAAATAGTCTTTAAAAAAATAGCACTACAGAAATAGGAAGATGAAGATGAGTCATCTGGGACTGAGATTCCTAAATCTCTTTTGTGCTGTGGTCAATTATATTGCAGTAAAAACTGTCGATTCTTTCTGAGAGTCACTTTTTAAATGTATAAAATAAAATGCATGAAAATACAAATTATACTGAAATATAGTTTCATCCAACATCTCCTTTGGATCTATTAATGTTGGGTTAGCTTCTTGAAGGATATGTTGAAGAATTCGGAAGTTATTGTAGTCACAACCAATGGAAATAATAAGGTTTTAATCAGAGGAGTAATATATACATGGTGCTATCTTTACGGTAGGGCTACTGCCATAGAAACCCACCACAAGTTGAAAGTATCATGAGTCAAAAATGCATTACACTTAACTAGTGAACATCATAGCTTAGCAACCCAGTCAAGTATCATTTGTTTCCCCACTCTCTACTCTATGGCTGACTGGGAACTGTGGCTCACTGTCACCACTCAGCATGACAAGAAAATATCATACCGCCTATTTCCAGCCCAAGAAAAGATCAAAATTCAAAATTTAAAGTTCAGTTCCACTGAATGCATATTGCTTTTGTATCACTGTAAAGTGGAAGCACTTTATGCCCATTAGAGACTGTCACATGGTTTAAGTTTTTAAACCAATCTCTCCATTACTGGTTGAGAATACATTTCCAGTGACTAAGAGCAAAGTAAGGAGCACTGCAGGGGGATACTGCAATATGATAGGAAAGCGATTACTGTAGCTTGGACTTGGGGAGTAACCACGGAGAAGACTACATCTAGAAGAAGATCACTCATAGTACGCCTATAAAGGAACAGGCATCCTCTAAGTAGAGAAAAAAGAGATTTCAAAGGAAGAAGTAAGTACTTCTCTTTCTCTTCCTTCTTTCTAAAAACTCTCTTAATTCTCCGAAGATTTCCTTGATGATGAGTTTGATAAACTTGTGAAACAGAATACATTAAAAGAGTTCACTGTACTTACTTGAACCAAATATGTTTCCAATAAACCTCAAGAGCAGTTGTTCTCCTTCTCTCACTTGGAAATGGCAAGGCGATTCTGGAAGCCCTCTGAACCCTTCCAAGTGCAAGTTCCTAAGTGCCTGGTTTAAATTTTTAGAAGGCACCACTAAAATAACCACTCTGTGTGGATTGTCCTTCTGGTGGGACAGTACTACGCAGGCAGTGGAGCTGAGTGAGGCTTCCTCTAAAGACTTCACAAAAGAAACCAAGTGGCTGTTGTCCACCATGGAAGAGACGTAAAGCACAATAAACCTGCATAGAGGAAAAGAGTCAAGACCTGCAGAAAACACACAGCCTCCAAAACATCCTTGAGACGTAGCAATATTCAAAAAAGGAGTCACTATCGTTTAAAGTGGGGATTCTGCTGACCCATTAGTTAGATTCATTAACAAATTTAGTAAAACTCTTGGTAGTCAAAAAACCAGTTTAAGTCAAACTGAATTCCAACATGTTCTTAAAGTAATCACATCATCTCAACTCAGCTCTAAAAATGGTGCCCTATTATAAGTTGTATGGTCATGGGCCACCTAACATGCTTTGGTGGTCCCATAAGATTATAATGGTGCTAAAAAAACTGTATTACTCAGTGATTTTTGCCACATTAGCATCACAGTGCAGTTCATTATGTCTGTGTTTGTGGTGGTGCAGTTATAAACCTACGGGGCTGGCAGTCACATAAGGGCACAGCACATGCTATATAGTACAGAACACTTGATAACGATAACAAATGGGTATGCTACTAATTGATATATTATACTTTTTATTGTTACTTTGGACAAGTGTAATCCTCTATTTTTGTTAAAAAAAACAAACAGCTATAAAACAACCTCAGGCAGCTCCTGCTGGAAGACTCCAGAAGGAAGTGTTGTGCTCATGGCAGGTGAGACCCTCATCTGTGTTACAGCCCCTGCACACTGCCCGGCAAGATGAGATGTGGACGTGGAGATGGTGACCTTGATGAACCTGGCCCCGTGTAGGGCGAGGCTAATGTGCATTTCTGTGTCTTAGTTTTTAACAAAAAATACAAATAAAAATTTAGACATATGTAAAAATCTAGAGAATAATTATAGGAAAAAAACTTTTTATACAGTTGTACAATGTGTTTATATTTTAAGCTAAATATTTTACAAAGGAGTCAAAAGTTTTTTTTTTATTTTAAAGCTGATTAAGTAAAAATATTATAATACGCAACATTAATTTATTATTAAAGAAGAAAAAGGTTTTAATCAATTCAGTGTAGCCCAAGTGCAATGTTTTAGCAATAGCCAGTGCTGTGCTCTGTATTCACGGAAAGTGCCCAAACCAGTGTTCCATTTTAAATCTTTCATTCTGTATGTTATGGTACCCTTTCTGTATTTAAATACACTAATACTATGTGCAATAATTGCCTGCAGTAATTGGTATATAGTAACATGCAATCCAAGTTTGTTGTGTAGGAGCAATAGGCTGAATATTGCCTTGGTTTGTAAAGGGCTGTACCATGCAGATTCATGTAATCACACTCTATGATGTCAACACAAAGCGATTGCTTCTTGATGCAATTCTTAGAACATATCCTGTCATTAAACAGAGCTTGACTATATTTTAAGTAGCATTTCCAATGCATCATTTCAAAGTATAGAAGAAAAAGATGTTCCAGATAATCTACTCCCATAGGATGCAGAATATATACCATAATTTGGTGGAGAGTGAAATATTCATCTCTATTTCTGTGTGGTAAGGATTTTAATGATGGATCTGCTGTGGCTTGAATTGTGCCACCTTCACAAGTCTTTTGCTGCAATATGACCTCAGTTCCAGATAGGCTTCTTACAATGCTAAGCAAATTATAGTGAATATCCTGATCCAACAAGACCAGTGTCATAAAAAGGGGAGATTTTAACACAGAGGAAAGCATACAAAGAAAACACCACATGAACCTGAAGGTAGCCATCTGTAAGCCAAGGAGACCTGTAGAGCTTATCCTTCACTCACCCTAAGAATAAACCTTGGGTTTGAACTCCCAGCCTCCAGGAATCTAAGACAAAACATTTCTCTTGCTTAAACCATTAATTTGTGATACTTTGTTACAACAGCTATAGCAAACAAACACAGACTCTATTCCTGCTACACCAGTCATTCCTCAGCTCTTCTCCAAAAGTTGCTCTGCAGGAGCCTTCATCCAAGCAGCCCCTCTTTCACACCAAGGATAAGCTGATGTGAGGGTGTAAAGCCAACATTTCTGCTGCTTCTGAGCTCCCTTTAGACACCAGGTAGGGGACAGACTTCAGCTGAAACTGGTTTCCTCTCTTCCTCCATGCCTCTGCCTGCTTCTTTCATTTTCTTACAGGACCCAACTGATTGCCTTGCCTCACTAAATCACTTGAATTCTCATCTCAAACTCTGTTTCTAGGGAACTTGATCCAAGATAATCATAGACATAAGGTCTTCATTATGAAATAAAGGCTATCTTTAGACATGTGATTACCCTCTCTTTATGTGTGTCTGCTCCTGATGAACCTCAAAACCATCTAAACTCTCCTCATAATAGGCTGTCTAGAAAACATGGAAATGAGAAACCAAAATGAGGGCACCGAAATAAAAAATTCAGTTTATATATACATAGTTATGAGATGAGCATAATATGAACAGTTAATTACTATCCCCATGGAATTTCAGAAATGAAGGTGCTATTTTAAAACTATTTCAGAATTAAAAGAATCCTATAAAACTGTAAGTTATGAGTGGTTAGGTTACCAAAAGCACTTGTTAAACTATTATGAAAGAAAATATAAACAGCGTATTAACATAAATTGTGGTTTGCATTTCAAGTGCATCCTAAAACATAGTTCATATTCCTATTTGAGGAATAAAAATCGAAACCTGTAATTCCATGTCTGTGCACCATGTGGACCTCCATGAGAGAATACACCCAACCGGGAATGTTCGGGATGGCATTACCTCTCTAAATGTTCACACAGTTCAAATGATATCAAGCCACTCTGGATGTTTCTCACCACAACATTATCAAGTCCAAACCAACCACTGTCATGGCTTCTGAATCCCAGTAATTTCAAAGATTCACAAGTGTTGTTCCCAGGTTTTCTTATGGAAGCACTTTTGGCCCTATATAAAGGTAACAGAAAAACAATTCATAAAATGTACATAGCATAATAGCATAAATCAAATGACCTAAGGCATCTTTTCTTTCACTTAGTGAATAACCCAATAATAATTCATTAAGTAAATATTTGACATCAGAAAGAATTCCAGGCACTAGGAATACAAAGATAAGAAGATGTAACATTCATGGTATCACAATATTATCTGACTCCAGTACAAGCTAACCCATGTCCAGAGTGGGTTTAGCAGCAGAAGCCAAGTACTCAGGGAAGCTTGCAAAGTGAAAATGCTTACATTAAAGATGAGACTTGGAGAATGAGAAAAATTTTAACTCATTTACATTTTTTAAAAAGGTGAATGGAACACTCAAAATCATCAGTGAATTTGATCTACACCCAGATGCATCAGGATAGCCAAGAGTGGTCATATAGCACAATAGGTAAGCTGTAATTAACATAAATTGTGGTTTGCACAGTCACAACTCCGGGTGACTCTGCCTCTTATTAACATATGACCATGGGCAAGTTATTCGATTTCTCTGTATCTCAATTTTCTGATCTATAATATGAGGATAATAAGAGTATTCCCATTATAGAATTAAATATATGAATATTTGTAAAGCACTTATAATCTGAGCAGGATAAATGTTATTAATTTTTACTCTAATTCCTATAGCAAACATAGTCAATTAGCTTTCTTGTATACTTTTCCTTCCTCCATAACCTGCCCAAACAAAGGCCCTAAAAGATACAGTTGTGCGAACCATATGCCATTTCTCATCAAACTACAGCTGGTTTGACTATCTGTCAAAGCCAATTTGACTTTCTGTCTTTGGAATTTGATTAAGAAGTCCAGATATTATAACGTCACTTTCCTTTTGTTGTGAAGCTTTGGAATATAAAAGTTAATAAACAGAGAGCTTATTAGGAAAATTTAAAAAACAGATTACAAAGAAAAATATCAAGTTGTAGGATCCATGTAGTCCTCAAAATGGAAAAAAATCAGAGGTTAACTCTTCCAATCTTATAATAAAACTTTTATTTGAATTTATTTAGGTGGGTTTCTGTTCTTTATAAGTGAAGGAAGGGAAGACATTGACACTAAATATCTTGGGAGAAAAATACTCTGATAATGATCATCATGGGGGGAAATATGCTACAACACATAAAAAGATAGACGTGATCTAGGTACTGAGAATGAAGACACAGGTGTGAGTGAATCCCATATCTCTTCTGTGTGTGCCTGTGAGATTAGATTCACAGAGTGAGATGTCCTATGATTCAGAGACAAGGAAGTGAACTAGATTTAGAAGGTTTAAGCTGAAAAACCCTTACCTTGTATTGCTTATTTGAGGGGACCAGCCACTTAAAATCAAGAGAAGGGGGAAATACTTAGTTTCTGGTAGCTGGGTGTAACTACAGATAATGGTAAATTTTTAATTTTAGAAGTTAATAATTAATTCACATAGGAAGATATAATGAATATAGAACTTTAGTCATTTACTAAAAATGAGTAAATTAACTGTAATTTTTTTTTCTGGTAGCAGCTATTCACTCTTTTTCTTCCAGTAGTCTAAATCTTCTAGGGGGTTCTGTAGGGTTTCCCTATTCCAATTTCGTTAAGCCAAACAATGGCATTCATTAGTACTGTTCACCAAAATCCCTGATTTCCTCTCCTTTTTTGTACATGACGGGGTTGCACGCCAAAGGTCTCTCTTCTGCCACCATGACAGGAGTCAGACAGTGGTTTCCCTGTTTACCTACATCCCTGAGAGAGAATAACTGAGAAGCAGGCTGCTTTTCACGGCCACACAGCATGTATGAGATATTAAAACTAATGTTAGAAGCCCTTGGAAGTCGAGTGTCTTGTTGTCATGTCATAAATGAGAATAATCTGCACTGTGTCTTCCTTCTGGTTATGATAAAATCTTCAAGGATGAGTTTGGACAGATTTGGAAGGAAAATCAAGCCTTGGGATTTTACGGTGGGGAAGAGAACTTTCTTTTTCACTGAACTTGGAACAATGAAGATGGGGTCCAACCATGATGTCAGCACAAGGGAAAAGCATGTCCCAAGATGGAATTTGTGCAGAAGGAGGCAGATAGAGAGACTGGGTTCTTCCTGGCTCAAGAAAAAGTACAAAATTAGATATAGACCAAAAATCCTTTTTTGGTAAACACTTCAGTTTGCTTTTTCTGTCACTTAAATAAAGAGTTCTTAAGATAAGAAAGAATTTAGTACGGTAAACAAAACTCAGACTAAATAATCTGCTATTTCTGTGTCTACCAGATATTAATGGAGATCCAACTAAACTATTCTCTTTATGTGTGTCATTCACATTAACAACCATGTTTTCCCCCAAATTAACACTTAGCTGGAAAAGAATCAGCCTTGATAACTAGAGATCAAAAATGCCAGCCCCCATTAGCCCATACTTCCCTTACCTGCCTTACAGAGTGACCGCCAAACAAGAGAATGGTGAGAGTAGTAAGGAAAAGACAGGTTGACTGGGGATGGTATTTTTGAATTCTAGTTTTCAAGGCTGATTATTTTCTAGTCGGGTCTTATTTTCAGGGAAATGGGGAATGAGTTCTATCTAGCAGTGAATGCCACTTGGTCAAGCTCCACATAAGATAATGTTTGATGTCATGATACATTCATGATATATACCTACTTCTTATTTAAACAATTTACTTGTTTAAACATGATCAGATTTTACCCAGAGAGTGCCATGCTTTCTGAGAGTACTAATTAAAATGTATAAGCTACTTTATCTGTGGAAAAAATATGATGCATAACTTGGCAAGCAATCACATCATCAAAATTCTCTTATGATATCTTACTTTCAGAATAGTTTCTTTATGGTATGCATAATGTATAGGTATTTAAAAGTGAATGCCATTAACGTTTCAGAGTTAACTTTTTCTCAGAAAACTATAATTTAGTCATTAAAGTGCTGATTCGAAATGACATGCTACTCTCAAAAGATTGAAAATCTTATAAATTGTGCCTGTTGATTATAGACAATCTTAAAGCAAAGAAGTAAATAGAAAAGGAAAGTACACATAATTCACACTACCTAGAAACCAACATTATAACATATTGATAAATTTCTGGTCATCTTTTTTCTGCATGATTCGTTATTTGGCTTGTAAAATGCTACCCTTATTGTGTCAAATTATGGACCCTGATTTTGACATTTAAAATTAACAAAGTCATTTTGAAAGTCAATTCAAATGTCTTTAGTCTTCATGACACCACTAAGTGAGACATCTTCACAGAAATTTACATACAGAAGCATTCAGCTATAAGGAGGAGTGTGGTGAACAAAGCATGAAGCTTCCACAGCCATATTAGAAAGGTAAACTTCAGGCCTTTACCAAGATTTGCACAGGCTGATGTAGTCACAGGGAAGTAGCTGAGTCTCTGCAGAGGCAAAAAACAAATTCTATGTGGAGGAAATCAGCTCCACATTACTCCTGCAGAAATTTTGTATGTACATGCCTACAAATAAAAGTTTCCCACAAAGAAAGCGATAAACACCACAGACAACAGCCACCAGGAGCAACAGGCAACAGATATAAACACTCCAAAGAGGGAAAGATTTTTGGAATTAGTAGTATGCAAATAAAGTAACTATATAAGATAAGTTTAAGAAAAGGAAGGACAGCATCACAAATTAAGTAGACAATCAAAGACTATTAACAAGACTAAAGTAAGTGAATGAAAGAAAAATTTTTTTAAAAGCCTGATCAAATTTTAAGAAATTAAAAAATCATCAAAAATGGAATATTAAAATGACATGTTAAAAGTAGATTTTTAAAGTGCACAAGGTTTTTGGCATTGGCATTTTGAACTGAAATGAAAAGAATTGCAGATTGCAACACACAAAATTAGAGAGATGATATGACAATTAAAGAAGCATGGAATGTCTAAAAAGGTAGTTTAGTACACATCTATGAGAATGCAGTACAAAATGGATAAAGTGAACAAGTATCGATAATTAATTAGAAAACATAAGGCTTTTCAAAAATATAATATGACATAATTCCATTTGATCAGGAATCGATATATATAATTCACAAAAAGTAGCTAAGATATCCACCCAGATATATCCTAGATAACTATAGAATACCATGTACAAATATTTTCAAAGCAACAACCAACTGCAAAACTTTACTGACAAAGTTACAAAAGTTTTAGTTACTGCAGTCTTCACAACAATAATGAATGCTATGAAGAGGGGCAAAATATCCCCGAAGAGAGACAAAAAAAAAAAAAAGAAATCAGTGTTATTCTAGCATCCTCTGCCGAATGTTGTAGGTGGTCTGTGAAGTACACCCTCCGTGAAATGTGCTCTCATGATTAAAGTCCTTCACACGCTCTCACAGAGATCTAGAGCCAGTTGTGTGACTCAGCTTTAATCTGCAGAGCTCCCCAAGAAAGGAATAAGACACTTTATAGAGATGACTACAAGTATACGTGATCCAACAAAAAATAAATAGGGCTAAGGATACAGCTCGGTGATAGAATTCTCACAAGCCTGTGCAAAGCCTGGATTTGATCTGTAACACTGAAAAAAACATTTGGTGGGGGATCATGGTTAACTTTGGTGGGATGAGGAGCAACTATAGAGAGGAAGAAAGGGATTAGATGGGGAGGAACAAAAAATGAGATGGGATTCTATTGATAATGGTTGATTTCCTATGTATTAGCTTTAGTAGTTGTTCCTTTTCTTATATAATATAATGAATATTTTAAAAATATTCTTGGGACAAGTTACATATTACATTTAAATGCAATGATATTAAAATATTCCTTGTATAATATATAATACATTTTTATTTAATCAATTCTTTTTCTTCTTTCATTGCCATCGGGAAATCTTTATTGGAACTTATTTTATATTTTATTTTTTGGAAGCATTTGGGATCAAACCAGGGCCTCTTGCATGGTAGGAGATCACTCTGAAACTGAGCTACATCCTGACCCCACCACACCCAT